TTCTATTATTATCAATCTTCACAACATTAGTTTTGTATAAAGTAATAAATAACTAGTATTTTGTACACAAACATAACATCAATAAAAATAACAATCTTTTACATATCTATAAATATACATAAGAGGAATAAAACACTATTTTGAAATAATCATTACATTTTCATTTCTTGTTAATTAAAAAAAAATGAATAGCATTATTAAACTATTACAACATGTTTTAAACCACAAATGTGTGTTCTAAAATGCATTATATACAAAGTGAGATGCATTGATTAACTGTTCATTGTAAGTTGAAATGAAGTTATTACTTATAAAAATACTTTGCATTAAAAAGCAAATCTTTACATAGTTTATTTGATGAGAATATTCCCTCGAACAATAAACCGGCAAGCTGTAATACAGACTCTGAAATACCTATACCACCTATTTCAAATAGTACAATTTGCATTTCATCCATGAGATTATTGACCTTGAAAAATTATAAATGTTTTCTTCTCTTTGAAAGGAACATGTGTGCTATGAAAAGGATATATTAAATAATGTTATTACAAGACATACAAGTAATTTTTATCTTGATAAAAAATGGTGACCTTCTCATGTCAATTAAGAGAACCATTTCACACAATTTGTGCTAGAATCTCATCTACAAGGTGTTGGCAGACAGGCTACCATACTAATACATCCCTATAAATGAGTTGCAAATATAAAAGAAGTACCTGAAAGTCATTTGGAAAAAATTTTAAAAAGCTGGCTTAAAGATGCTACATTTGTCAGCTGAAATGCATCTTTCACAATACATTCCTAGCATATAATTTTGTGCATATTATATGGTATAATGTTTTTGTTGTTGTTTACAGAGCAAAAATAAAAAGTATATCCATGTACAAATGTACAAGAGGGCAAAACTAGAAATATGTCCATAGGACATGAATGCCCCGCTGAGGGTATATTAATTTTTATTTGCTTGTTTATTGTTTAACATCCCTCTCGAGAATTTTTCACTCATATGGAGATGCCACCACTTGCCAGTGGAGAGCTGCAAATTTTGACCTATACTCGGCACTAAGGGCCATTAAGCAGTGAGGGATCTTTTTCAAGCCAGCACCTACTGTGACATGGGACCTCGGTTTATACGGTCTCCACGTCCCACAGTGGGATTCGAACCAGCGACATAAGGATCAACTCCTTACTCTGCAACTCTAGAGCTTTAACCTCTGCACCATGTGGGCATATTAGTAATGCAACACAGAAATATTTTTAGTGTATGAAATTTGATGAAAATATCTTAAAATAGTTTCTTTAACATCGAAATCGAAAAAGTTGGATATAGATGATAAATTCTCACCAAATTCTGTTAAGTGCATAAGCTCACATAAAATTATCTTTAATGGTTTCTGTAAAACTAAGCAAAATGCAAATCTAAGAAAAGTGAGGTCCAGGTCACAGGAAAGTTCAAGGTCATACATTTTTGATGCAGTTGAATAGTTCTCACTAATACGCATAAGCAAAATAAGTTTGATAAAAATATTTTGAATGGAAACCGTTTATTTAACACTGAGCTAATCACTATTTCAAGAAAAATGAAGTCAAGGTCAAATGAAATGTCAAGGTCATAAATGTTGATACAGTCGAATACCTTACATCAGTCTGTATCAGCATATGAAGTTTGACACTAATTTTAGGAAAAGTGAGGTGAAGGTCAAAGGAAAGATCAAGATCAAAAAATGTTGATGCAGTTGAATAGCTCTCATCAGTATGTATCAGCAAATGAAGTTTGATTACGCTATCCTGAATGGTTTCTTTAAAACTGAGCTAAACACTTATTTAAGATAAGTACGGTCAAGGTCAAAGGAAAGGTCAAGGTAAAAAATGTTGATTCAGTATGTATCAGCATATGAAGTTTGATTACACTATCTTGAATTGTTTCTTTAAAACTGTGCTAAACACTAATTTAAGAAAAGTGAGGTCAAAGTTAAAGGAAAGGTCAAGGTAAAAAAAATGTTGATGAAATTGAATACCTCTCATCAATATGTATCAGCATATGAAGATTGATAAAAATATCTTGAATAGTTTCTTTGAAACTTAGTTTTGAACTGAGCTAAAAGCAAAGCGGAATGGAAGGACAGACAGAAGGTTGGAAGGACGGAAGACGGACATGACAAACTCTATATGCCCCAGCCATATTCATGGCAGGGCAGAAAAATTTCTAGTGTACTGAAATTCAAAACTGCAGTAATTGATAATTTGTTTTTTGTTTTTTTTTAAAATTTTAATTCAATATCAAAAAACATATACAAACTTTTTTGATAATTTATTCTATTCAAAGCAATAAGAAATGCATCTGTCTGCACTGCTTAAAATTGATAAGAAGGTTATGACATAACTAAAATAATGACTATGTCCACATTAAATTTAAAATATAATGAGTGACAATTCACTTCACCTTTTCTTTGGCTTTCATTCCATTGACTTTTCTTTCTTTAAAAAATTGTGCTTGTGTAGTACTCCATAAAGGAAAGTTTATGGCACTCAATGAACTCTCTCATCCCTTCCTTTACTGTTCAAGAAAAAAAAATGCATACCACAAGCATAGTTTAAACATGTAACTAGACTTTATGATATTTTCATACATAATGTCACCAACTTTATAAAGAATTGTGAATGCATTTCAAAGGTGAGCACATGTGAATTGAATTAAAAGTACCAGTATTGCGAGTATCTCGCAGTTATCTAACTTACAACCGCTCTTTAGCATGGGAGTCGAGGAAGCTCTAAATCTCACAAGATTTCTGGGGCATAACATTACAGTGGTGACAATGGAATGATTCAAACAATCATTATGCCCAAACTACAATGTATTGCCAAGAGTTGAACTCCAAATAGTAGATTGTCAAATAAGGAAAGTTAAGAGTATTTTATCAACTTTCAAAAGTAACGATTTTCATTTAGAATTTAATAAGAAAAGTCCGCTTAGTAAAAAGTATCGTAAAAAATGTAACATATAGGACTAGCTCCTCTCAAAAATTTATTAGGCTGGTTCAGCGCATGTTTAGCAAGACATTTCTCTAGGATTTCTTTCTTATCAGTCCTTATAAATTTCACAATGATCGATCATGCATTACTTTCAATAGTACACTGTCCCCATCCAACAGACGTTTCCTACCTCTGTGAAAGAGTTCCGCTAATTTCAGTAATCGCGATATCAAGTATTGTTGTTTATCCTTAAATGTATGTCAATAAAAAAATTATTTCGAACAGATCAATGCTTAAATTTTGAGATTATCACCCTAGGTATGCTTTTTTGTTTTTTGTATATATGAGAGATTTGTTTATTGACAGCTGCTTTTTCATTAAAAGTGGAACTCAAAAATTAACTTATCTTGTCATTGGTCATTTGCAAAATTATTTGTAAAAAACACTGATTGTACACACAAGTACTCTGAAGTTGACATTAAAAAGATTCTTGAGTTTCTGATTGACAATATCTATGTGGTTTTTAGAAACAAGGTCTTCCAAAAATCTCTTGGAATTTCCATAGGTACCAATTGTGCTCCGTTATTATCAAACCTATTTTTGTATTCATACAAAGCAGAATTTATTTAAAATCTTATACATGAGAAGAAGAAAATACATGCTATCGCCTTTAACATTTAGATATATTGACGAAGTACCATATTGTCACGTGTAAAGGCCATAGTCTTGTAATAGACACACCCCCAAAGGATGTATTCGTTATAACAAAAGATTTGACCTATAGGAAAGAACTATTTTCCAGAAAAAGTCACATTTAAAAATCAATGTTCTTTAGTTGTTTTCTATTGTATATTTATCTCAATTTTTCAAATTTGCATTTTAAACATAATTTTTTTATTTGCAACTTTGAAATTAACCTCCAAAGTTGGTCAAAACAGTATTTTGTCCATTAAAGCACTAATTTTTATGTGAATTTTGGCATAGAAGTCCTTCAGGGCAGGCCTGCCCCTAAATTAAATTATGAAATTTTGATAGATTTGATCTAAAGAATGATTTAAAACAAGATTTTTTTAGGGGCACCCCTGCCTTAGGGTCGAAATTCATGAAAAACCTACAAAAATTCGAAAAACCTAGTTCTATCATACTGGATTACATTTATGGAGTGCATTTTCATAGTCATTATAGCGCAGAGAAATAGACCGCAGATTCTTAGAATGGACCTTTTTTTATGTCCTGGTTCGAATCCACCTGTTGGCACACTTTTATTTTTTTTTCAAATTTTACACCTGTATAAGCACGAACTTTAATTTTTTATACAGGCTTTTGCATTTTACTTCCACTTTCTTCTTTAAATGTGTGTTTGCTGTTGATATAAAAGACATTTATGGAAATGCAGTTTATAAATTCTCTTTAACTAAAAGCAGTCAACCGGAACTGTATACCTCAGTGTAAGCACACTTTGTTCGAGGACACGAATCATTCACTTTGTGTTACTCGATACTGCAGGTGTCACGAAAAAAAAATCATGACGAGCAAAAATTGCTGTGTTTGTCTTTCAAGAACGTCTCTGGTTAGTAGAAGTGTTGTGCCAGTGGGGGAGATACTGCGCTATGCAGAGTAGATGCAGTTCATTCCTCGGGAAAATTGAGTGCATTGGCGACATGTTATGTCAAAAATGCAGGAGTAGGTTTACAGATTAGAAAAGAAGGTGGTAAGGTCAGTTAAGGTTTTATCTCCCGTTGCCATTACCCAGGCATCAAGTAAGGACCCTCATACAAAGGATGTATATGTAAATACTGATGTAGGGTCATATGAACACACAGTTGACTAGAACTAAAACGATACATGAGAGACAAGAAACTACACACATGTGGCCTAAAGTCAGCGACCGGAACGGATATCGATAAGGTTTTTCTAAAGAATGAAACCAATATCGGCCCTATAGGTCAATGCATATATTTACCTAGAAGTGATCCTTTGGGGGGAAAATCCCGAGAAAAATGCAGCTCCTATGGATAAAATGCTACCCCAAAAATGCGGATGTATCTCTTATTTTCACAGCACAACTATTCCAAAGAAAAAGTTTAAAAAGTTAAAATATTCGTATTATTTCAAAAACAAAAGTAGGATACAACTTTTAATTTTCTTGCAAAATTCAGTTTACATATAAGCTTTATTTATAAGTATTTAAGTATAGTCTGTATTTTAATTGTTATTTGATTGGTATAAATTAAAAATTAAGTCCCTTTTTTTTTTCCCTATAACCCTAAGCATTTTACGATATTGTGCTGAAAATGCATTCCAAGCAGGTGTCTGTGTTTACGTAAACAAATCCACAGGTACTTGTGGACAGGACCCCCCCCCCCCCGATATTCAACCCCGGGACTTGTTGGACATTTTCTTCACAAATTATATTTATTGCACTTATTCATCATGTATATAATAGGAAAAAATCGTGAAAACCCCAAAATAATCGTTCCACACAAAAAATACCCCACTATACATTATAAGAGAGAAAGGTATGCCACTCCGGTTTGTTTACGTTGTACCCCCACTGGTCTTTCTGGGTTTAAAAACATGTTTTTATTTTATTTTAACCTAAAATGTCGGTTCACACTGTCTCTACATATATTTCTGTCTTAGTTCATGCTATCGGATTGGCTCTGCATCTCGTAAGAATCCCACAATTAATCCTTAAACAGCATTGCAGTCAGTGCGTTGAAAAAATCCTTAGGTAAACGCAACGGAAGTGCATAGAGAATATATTACCTATTATGAAAACACCCGAGAGAGATTATTACGTCAGGGCAAAACTGTTACTGCTTAGAGAAAAGTAACACTTAGAAAAGGATAATAAACAAGAATCTGATATACCATGAAAATCCTTAAGAGCAGTAAGGTAACACTTAGAACATTACTTTCCAAGAAACATGCATTTAATATTACATGTACATAATCAATTTGTAAAATTTTAATTAGGGATGGAAATAAATAATATCCAAACATGAAACAGATGTGTCAGACTCTGTGGTATCTTTTATTTCAAGCTCACTGGGGTATATACAGAGTTGATATATGAACGGAAATAACTATTGTTAATTGATAATACATCATCGATATATCTCAATGTCGAGTTCAAGACCACAGCAAGTGTTTTCTTCTTCTCATGTGTAAGATTTTGAATAAATTCTGCTTCATATGAATATAAAAAGAGGTCTGCTAGCCTAATAACAGGTTGCAATTGGTACCCATGGGAATTCTGACAGATTATTGGAAGACCTGGTCTCCAAAAACTACATATATATTGTCAATCAGAGACTCAAGCATCCAAAAACCTGTATTACTAAAGTATAGCTCAATATGATCACCAAAATCATCATTGCTTGACATAATATGCATGTATAATATTTCTTTAATATTAAAAACATTTTAAAAGGCCCTAATTAAGCCATCATTCTGACAATTATTTATGCATGATTGTGTATACTTTATCAACAATCTCTGCCACTTTCACGCTGATATGGCTACTTTTTGTATTTCTCTTGTTAGAGAGCTATAATCTCCAAACTTGTGTATTGAGTATAATAACTTTCATCCTTTTCATATTGGCCTAGGTGAAAACAGATAATACTACAGGTCACTTACTCAGAAGGATTACTTGATTTTGTTGATCATGTTGATTGATGGTAGTCTGCACAGTAGCGCTAGCAGTTTCTTTTTTACCATTTCACTGTGAAAAAAAAATGTTGAACTTATTATATATTAAAAATATTTACCACTACATAAGCATTGGTGATACGGTCATTGCTCTTTTTTGTAACAAATCAATTAAACACTGTACCTTTATATAGTACAAGTTATATTGCATGTACTTTCGATCAATCTATTTAAAAAACATCAGATTAATTACCAATAGGTTCTTGAATTTTTAGTTTCTGTTGCATTGGGCCGAAATTACGAGAAAAACTTTATTTTGAACAAGCATTTATATGTACAGTATTGTACTTGCATACTTAAATACCTACTATAATAAAGATTAAACAAGCATTCTGAGAGTATTGCATTAGCAATACTAGTCCCCTACCGGCAAGTGTAATCTGGTTCCCACTAAAACTTGAATTGCCACAATTCCATTTCATTGATTCAGAAGCATAACAAAATGCAAACTTGAACTGTAAATCATCAAGATACACTTACATACCAAAACTCAGCTCAATATCTGCAAGCGTTTCGAAAAAAGTGCGGAAAACAAATGGGACAGACTGACAGACTGAAGGAGGGACAGAGAGACAGATGGACAGACTCAGAGTAAACCTATAATTCCCTCTAGTTTCACCGGTAGGGGACTAAGTCTAATAAAAAAGTGGGAAAAAGCCACCCTGTTAAGCCGTACTTTTGTCTCCCATGGTGAGCAGTGGAAAAAGGTCTTATGCTTGGATATGTTGTACATGTACTTTGTATCAATCTGTACATGCATAATCCATTGGCTAATGAAAGAGGCAATGTATTCGTAATGTAAACTTTTAAATGTAGTGGTAATGTTTACATTTTTTGCTGCGGTAATGAGTATGTAGCGGTAAATAATTACCATTTTGAAAATGTAGCGGTAATGATATTCACCTGGATAAAGAAATGGTCTATCTATTCCAATCACATTTTTTACAAGATAGGGCACTTCTTATTTGCTGTACATATAATTGTTTTCATTTTCACAGGGCTCTAACACTGCTTTTTGGGAATGGGGCCGGGCTGTAAAGATTGGGAAAATAAAGACCTTTTAGGAAATTTTGGAATAACCATTATACGTACTTTAAAATCATATATATTGGGTTTCCGGTCTTCGCTATCAACTAAATTTGTTTTATAAAACAGATCTGAATAGCAAGTTAAGTTATTACCGGTATATATCCAGCTTTATTTTCTTTAATTTTTGGGAGAAATGACTATTGGGAAAATTAACACATTAATTGGGAAAAAAGGTACCTTTTTTGAATTGGGAGTGGGGCCCTTGAACGGCCCCAATTATAGACAATTGAGAGCCAGGCTGTTTCGTATTTGAGAGGTCAATTTATAACCTTCGTTCTTCATTTTTTTAAGCTTTGGGTGTGTGTTGATTACAACATATCAAACGCTTATCATATGTCAAGTGACTTATCTTTAAAGGCCGAGGTTTTCAACCGGTCGGTTTTCCTCAGGTAAGTTTGGTGTGGGGTGGAGCTTAATCGAAGCGGATGAGAAGCCCCGAGGGAACGATGCTGGCTTGTGTATACCTACCTTTATACACAGGATGTTACCTGCATGTATTACCTGTATACGTTTTCCTACGACACAGTAAAACAAATTCATTGTTTTTCTTGTGTAGGTCAATTGAAATGTTGACCGTAACATTCTGAAATAAAGCATGCGAAATGTTTTTGTTGCGGACAGAATCCTACTCAAATTCTTTCTTTTAAAATTAATCTTTTGTAATAATTTGTCAATTTCAATTATACTGTGTGTTTGGTAATTAATTTCACATGTTATAAAAAATATTATAGGACCAAAATTTGTCGTTGTAAGCTGGCGACACAAAGGGAAGTAATTCAAATTGCACGTCGTGTACGCAATACAAAAGAAGAAAGTGGGTCATAAATAACTCTCTCCATAATAATAAAACTCAGAAACGCTGTTTGGAGGCTAAATTGTGTAGAAAGATAATAAATTAAATAAATACTAATAGAAGATAATTCCTACGTGATTTTTCAATGACGCATTGTCTGTAAAAATGGCCAGGGCTTTGGACCGGGGGTGATTCCCTCGGCAGCTATAAGCGAAACGGGAATTGAATCACCTGCATTGTACTTTTTTCCTTTGGGATTCATAATTTCAAATATTACATGCAAAGCAAGATGTTATAATCCGAATAATTGCTTTTCTAAAACTGGTTATTATACTGTAACTTCGTCACCATGTCTTGAAGAAAAGCGACACGTATTTGTCTTATAAAGTTTCACTTAAGCAATATTACAATGTTGTCATACTTGTTTTAAAAAAAAAATAATTTTATTTAATTCCATGATATTTCAAACGCAGGTCGGTATATTTTGTCAAGGTAGAATAAATGTACGTTAGTTAAATTATGTTTTGACAAATTATAATTATCGATTGTAATCGTGAAATGAAATCCCCCTTTTTAAATTACAATTTTAATATATAAGCATGATTTTTCTTATCATTCATTTAATTATTTGACAAAATGATTATATTTATGGCATATTCTTATGAATTAAAAAAAAATGCCTTGATTGCTTCTTGGAATTTGCGGTAGGCATCAAAAGCCTGAATGTAAATTCGATGGTCGGTACAAGCTCCAGACAAGGTACACAAGATATACACAACAGCAGAAAACTAAATGTCAATCAAATCCAAGTATCCAATCCCAGGCTTAATTTCAGATGATTGACAGGGGTTCTAAGACCAGGTAAATTTGAAGGAGGTGCTTATTTCCTCCCCCTTTAAGTTATTGTCAAAGAAATTTCAAGTCTGTTAAAATCTTAATGTTTAAATAACTTGTGCCCTGTAGGAAATAAGATTTTGTAGCAAATAATCTTTACAACCGAGCTGCAATTTTCCCCAAGTTAGAGGCTGAAAAAGGGGGTGCATATTTAAACCAATGCATATTACATTCAGCAAGATATGGTAACTGCTTGATTGTCACATTTCAGTTTGAAACATGTTACAAGTTTTATTTCAAAAAATGAAAATATTATTGAAAAAGTAAATACAAATACTCACTGACAAAAACTATCTACTAGGGATGGCAATTTCTAACTGGTTAACCGATTACTTGGTCGGAACGATGGCAATCGGTTAGAAAATCTGCAATCGATTAGTCGAAAAAATATTATAATATGTAAAACTGAAGGCAATGTACTAAAATTCATTTTCAAAATAGAAATTCCTACCTAAACATTTAATTTAGCGTTTTCATTTATTTATTTAGGCTGACTGGGAGGTCATTATGGCTCTCCAGATTACAATTGCGGGGTAATTGGTCAGTCTGAGATATGTTAATTACTGTATCATGTCGTTACCCCGACTGTCCTCTAACTCTTTAATGATAATAATCACCATTGAGCACCGTGAATTGGTGTGTGTGTATCTTTTGCAGTTATCTATCACATTAAATTATAATACAAACATTGTAAATTAAGTGATACATTTTAGACTTAGTTTTGATTATGGTGATAATGAAGAATGAACTTGTGTGACATCCGCTCTGGAAAATTATCCACGATATCTCAGGCATGGTTCATGGTTTTCTGAATTTTTTCTTGTCTATTGAAAAACATAGGTAATCAAAGATTACGAAGCTCACCTCAATGAATGTTATCTACATGTAAGGCAAATTTCACATATTATTTTTTTTCTAGTTAGGGTACATCCCAAGATCAATATCCATGCAAGTTTGATTTAATTATAGACCTGCTCAAAAAACTTTTGACCTGTTTAGTAATCAAGAAAATTTTGGTCAGTTCCAACATCCAAAGCAAGTCTGGAAGTTTTCATCCTTAGATGCACCATCTATGCAAGTTTAATCATAACAGGCCATAATATTATATAGCTACTCCAAAAAAATTACCCTGGTCACTCATCTGGAAAATGTACATCAGATTCAGAATCCAAGGCAAGTCTGGAAGTGTCCATTCCTAGATACATCATCCATGCTAATTTGGTTAAAATATGGCTAAAATTCACTCATGTGGAAAATCTAGGTCAGATCCAGCATCCGAAGCAAGTTTGGTAGTGTCCATCCCTGGATGCATCATCCATGCAAGTTTGGTCCGGGTAGGGTTTATAGTTACTTGGGAATGAACCTGCTCCTAAAACTTTAACCTGGTCGCTCATCTGGAAACTCTAGGTCAGATCCAGCATCCGAAGCAAGTTTGGTAGTGTCCATCCCTAGATGCATCATCCATGAAAGTTTGGTCCAGGTAGGGCTTATAGTTACTTGGGAATGAGACTACTCCTAAATCTAAACCTGGTCTCACATGTGGAAAATCTAGGTCAGATCCAGCATCCGAAGCAAGTGTGGTAGTGTCCATCCCTGGATGCATCATCCATGCAAGTTTGGTCCGGGTAGGGTTTATAGTTACTTGGGAATGGACCTGCTCCTAAAACTTTAACCTGGTCACTCATCTGGAAAATCTAGGTCAGATCCAGCATCCGAAGCAAGTTTGGTAGTGTCCATCCCTAGATGCATCATCCATGCAAGTTTGGTCAAGGTAGGGCTTATAGTTACTTGGGAATGGACCTGCTCCTAAAACTTTAACCTGGTCACTCATCTGGAAAATCTAGGTCAGATCCAGCAGCCGAAGTAAGTGTGGCCATGTCCATCCCTAGACGCATCATCCATGCAAGTTTGGTCAAGGTAGGGCTTATTGTTACTTGGGAATGGACCTGCTCCTAAAACTTTAACCTGGTCACTCATCTGGAAAATCTAGGTCAGATCCAGCATCCGAAGCAAGTGTGGTAGTGTCCATCCCTAGATGCATCATCCATGCAAGTTTGGTCAAGGTAGGGCTTATAGTTACTTGGGAATGGACCTGCTCCTAAAACTTTAACCTGGTCACTCATCTGGAAAATCTAGGTCAGATCCAGCATCCGAAGCAAGTTTGGTAGTGTCCATCCCTAGATGCATCATCCATGCAAGTTTGGTCAAGGTAGGGCTTATAGTTACTTGGGAATGGACCTGCTCCTAAAACTTTAACCTTGTCACTCATCCGGAAAATCTAGGTCAGATCCAGCATCCGAAGCAAGTTTGGTAGTGTCCATCCCTAGATGCATCATCCATGCAAGTTTGGTCCAGGTAGGGCTTATAGTTACTTGGGAATGAGACTACTCCTAAATCTAAACCTGGTCTCACATGTGGAAAATCTAGGTCAGATCCAGCATCCGAAGCAAGTGTGGTAGTGTCCATCCCTGGATGCATCATCCATGCAAGTTTGGTCCGGGTAGGGTTTATAGTTACTTGGGAATGGACCTGCTCCTAAAACTTTAACCTGGTCACTCATCTGGAAAATCTAGGTCAGATCCAGCATCCGAAGCAAGTTTGGTAGTGTCCATCCCTAGATGCATCATCCATGCAAGTTTGGTCAAGGTAGGGCTTATAGTTACTTGGGAATGGACCTGCTCCTAAAACTTTAACCTGGTCACTCATCTGGAAAATCTAGGTCAGATCCAGCATCCGAAGCAAGTTTGGTAGTGTCCATCCCTAGATGCATCATCCATGCAAGTTTGGTCAAGGTAGGGCTTATAGTTACTTGGGAATGGACCTGCTCCTAAAACTTTAACCTTGTCACTCATCCGGAAAATCTAGGTCAGATCCAGCATCCGAAGCAAGTGTGGTAGTGTCCATCCCTAGATGCATCATCAATGCAAGTTTGATCCAGGTAGGGCTTATAGTTACTTAGGAATGGACCTGCTCCTAAAACTTTAACCTGGTCACTCATCCGGAAAATCTAGGTCAGATCCAGCATCCGAAGCAAGTGTGGTAGTGTCCATCCCTAGATGCATCATCAATGCAAGTTTGATCCAGGTAGGGCTTATAGTTACTTAGGAATGGACCTGCTCCTAAAACTTTAACCTGGTCACTCATCTGGAAAATCTAGGTCAGATCCAGCATCCGAAGCAAGTTTGGTAGTGTCCATCCCTAGATGCATCATCCATGCAAGTTTTGTCCAGGTAGGGCTTATAGTTACTCGGGAATGGGACTTGCTCCTAAAACTTTAACCTGGGACGCCGACGCTAACGCCGACGCCGGGGGTATAGCATAAGCTCATCTCGACTTCGTCGAGGTGAGCTAAAAAATATGCCCGTAGTTTTATGATCAAGACTAAAGACAAATAGAATGATTTTGACCTCTAACATCTTTTTTTAAGACTTCTTGTGCATAGGAATAGAGCTACTTGAAAAAAGTCAAGAAAATGACATTGTGTAGTTTGATACGATTAACCGGTTAATCGGTCGGAACGTTTTGCGGTTAACTGATTTGCAATTCTGTATTCGATTGCCATCCCTACTCTCTACTAAGTGGTTAGTATGTAAATTGTAACTGGTTACAAAACTGGTTATGAAAATTTCAACTGGTTATGATCTTTCTCAATAGTTAATAAACCAGTTAATCATTGCCATCCTTATTTTAAAGATACTTTGTGACAAGTTTGATTTAAACTGGTCCAGTAGTTCTTGAGAAGAAGTTGAAAAATGTGAAAAGTTTATGCATGACCCAAGCTCATGCAAAAACATACAAAAACAGATAGAAATATGTTACCATGGTTTCCTAGGTAATTCAGTTAACTTATATCAAAACCACACATTGTCATATAAATAAGACTAAGAGTAAGTGCTTTTCAAGGGTCCAGATCAGCATTTAATCAGTATCAAAGTATCATGGTCTTTAGAGTTTTGTATATGCCTTTTGTCTTCAATGGTAACCTGTACTTATACATGTACTTAAATATGGCCATTGAGGAGACCACTTATAATTAGGCATAAAGTAGACCAGTGAGAAAAATTGAGTAAATTGAATTAACCCTTGATATCAAGTATAAATATACCATTCTAATGATCTTATTCACTATATAAATGCATCAATACCCTGTATTATATTATACTGCATATCAAATTAAAACTTATTTATTGTGTCACAACTGAAGTGTTGCTGGACTGAAAGACATAAAGATGGACAATATGTGAATCCTATAGAGCTTTATCATTTCATGCAGGCCCTAATTAACATTCCATCAGTGATAAAGTACCTTGCACTTAGATTTTTATATTTACCTTTGTCTGCTATAGCAACCTGTACTTATACATATGTTATACTTAAATATGGCCATTGAGGAGACCACTTATAATCGGGCATAAAGTAGACCACTGAGAAAAATTGTTGATATCAAGTATATACAGTATATAAATACACCATTCTAATGATCTCATTTACTGTATGCATCAATACCCTGTATAGTATTACACTGCATAAATTAAAACTTGTTTATTGTGTCACAACTGAAGTGTTAATTGCTGGCTGAAAGACATAAAGATGGACAATGTGAATCCTATATAGCTTTAACATTTCATGCAGGCCCTAATTAACATTCAATGAGTGATAAAGTACCTTGCACTTAAGATTTTTATATTTACCTTTTGTCTGCTATAGCAACCTAGTTCTTATACTTAAATATGGCCATTAAGGAAACTGCTGATAATCATGATAATTGGGCATAAAGTAAACCACATAGAAAAAAATTAATATACTTAATGGGAAAATTTTATTGTACTCACTGTTAATAGCAAGTACATTTATATGCATGTATTATATAAAATATACAGTGGCGCCTTGTTGATTCGGACGCCTCTTTGGCTTAAGTTTGTTAAAAATAATATTGATTAATTTTTAACTGTTTCTTATTTAATTAATGCACAGTGTACTGGTGTAAGCTAAATTCTTCGAGCTTCATATTAGACGTGTAATTTAATTGGGGTAAATACACGCTAATTTTAGATGCTATTGTTTGTAGGTCACAGGTATGGCCTTCAAACTGACTGCATGGCCAATGTTTTTACTACAATTAACACTACTGCAAGATCAGGGGTTGAAATATACGGTAGCCCGACGCCCCTGGGCTAGTTATTTTAAGACTGGGGCTAGCTTATTTAAATGTAATGATAGTCTGTCGGACTAGCAGAACAGAAAAAAAATTCTCGTCAGTTTACTTTCATTTTTCTATGAAGACTGGTTTCTTTTGACTGAGAACTAGTTTAATTTGTTTCTGTCACCAAAACATTCAAAACTTTAACTTTTTGTTTTCATTTTGCATAAAAAAAATTGTTGGGCTAGTTAGTTTGGGCTAGTAATTTTTTCCTGATCAGTAGCCCCTGGGCTAGTGGGATTTCCAGGAAAATTTCAACCCCTGAAGATAAGTGTGAAAAAGTCATTTCTTGAAAAATTACCGTCCGGATAAACGAGTCATTTTTCAATGAACTATTACGTTTTGTAGTAGAAATCGAACGTCCGGATGCGGAACACATTTTTCTGGATTAATGAGACAGAATGACATGGAAAAAATCTATTCCCGAAAAATAGCATCTGGAAGGTGAAGTGTTCGGATAAACATGGCGCCACTGTATATACCATAAATGACTATGACCTATGGTACATATTGTTAGAGAAAAACAATCAATTAAAGCTGAACACATCTCATAAATAGGCATACACCATATTCGATTACATATCATCTAATATATCAGCACCGGGGTATACTCTTCGCATTTGTTACATCTGACTGCTTTATTGTCACAGGTATCGGAGTGGAATGGTGACACATGCTCATGCTGGTTATCTTGCATTGCCTTTGTTTATTTATTTTATTGCAGTTGCTTGTACTTGTGTATGTTTGTATACTGCACTGACCTGTGCAACTGCTGTAAGTTTCATTGGCATCTTTCTCTCCTGCCGTACGTGAAAGAAGTACACAGTAATTTTTTGTCGCTACCGAGAGCTATGTAGCATACGTCAGTCTGTCTATACAGACAGGTGACAACAGATTATACTGAACAGTGACTAAGTGAGTGGCTTATATAGGAACCCTACAATATAGCCTGAATAAAGGAATATGGCGGAAAAATTCCTTTTACACAGTGTGTTCAGATTTAAAATCACTAACTTTAAAGCAAACTAATGGATTACATACCTTTTCCCATAATTCACTTCAAATTCCTACTCATCATGTACGGCTACTTCAGAATCTCACATGTATACATTCTTTGACTTTTCTACAGGAACATTATTTCCTAAAATGTACAATCACATTTTAGAACATTCAAATATTACTTCCAATTGGACATAATTGGTAATTCACAAACTAGAAAGCTCACTCAGTAGTTGGATTGATTGTATGTCGTTTTACATCCTGTTTAAGAATTTTTCACTAAAATAGAGACGTCACCATATAATGGTCAACAATCTTTTCAACAGTTTTTTTCTAAAGAGATTTCAGGCTGTCTTTACTGCAATTGTCATCAGTCTACATTACCACCCATTGTGGTATACTGGTCCTGATTTGTTTTCATAGGATTTAAGTTTTAGTTTGTGTGATAACTGGATATCAAAAAGTTTGAAAGTAGAGTGTCATGAGATCATCAATGCTAATTATCAAAACACTACTTCTAGAAAATCAAAACATTTTAGTTAAATTAACCATTCAAAGTATTTTTTGAAAAGTAAAACAAAGGTCAAGGTCAAGTGAACTGTAATGCTGGTATTTTTCATTATAATTTATGACAAATTGTGCACATGCTAAATAGCATAGACTTACCTCTTTTAAATTATCAAAAATATGCTGAATATTAGCACTAACTTTTTTATAAGTAGGTCAAAGGTAAGTTCAAGGGTCACAAGATTGGCAACCATGGTATTTAAAAAAAGTCACAGTGCCAAGCAAAATATTAACCAAATATCAAAAACAATTAAACCTCTTACAATTCTCGAGATATAAGGTGTGACAGATGGACAGACAGACAGATGTCAGGTAAATTGATCCCTAGGTATTGCACTGCTGTGCAGTCGGCTCACAAAAAATGTTCTTACAGGGATAGACATTAACTTTCAGATTTTCTTGCCCTTCAGGCAAGTGATCTCAAACTTTGACTTGTCCGAACTCAAAACTTGGTTGCCCAAAATAAAGAAAGAACTTCAGAAGAAATTTTTTATTACTGTAAATGTTATGACAAGATAAAATGCGACCAAATACACTACCGTCAATTTGGCAAGGTGAGGTACCTGAAAAAATTTAAATGCTGCCTTTGTACATAAATGTATACCACTGTCCTTGTAAATTTAACCTGTTAACACACACTGCCATATACATGTAGCAATAACCCTCCGTTTAATAAATAGAATTCATATTTTTAAAAATTTTTTTTGGTAGGATTCTTTTGTGAATTGTGATTTTCTGAGATAACTGTGAAACAACGCTGAAGGAAGATAGTTGCTACGTAACACACCTTGATCAGGATACGTCGTGTTACACTGTACTTATATTCTTTGAGTGAATAAATAATCTAATATCCAATTAAGAAGTTAAGAAAGATGTTAGACAGTGAATAGACGAACAGCATATTTACCAGGGAAAAACGGAATAATGAACCCGATTTTCAAATGAAAGGTATAATACAAAAATGCTGACAAGGAATTCCGAATGCAAAAACATTGTCAGTCAGGTACCTGGCGGAAATCAAGTCTTCAATTTATTTTTTTTTATATAAATTAATGTAAACTAAATTAATATGTACATTTCTATGAAAAAAAAATCACTTGCCCAATCAGACAAGTACGTCGCAAGATTCACTTGCCCGAACTGAGAATTTACTTGTCCCGGGCAATCGGACAACCGTTAATGTCGATCCCTGTGACTTATTTATCATTGGAATGACTAGTAAACACCAAACTGAACTTAACCTGCTTAAGTGAGCCAGTAGTGCCCAGTACAGAGCAACAAGTGCTGTGAACAGCGAGTGAAGTGTGACTGATTGATTGAGTGTTGTTTTATGTCCCATTCGAGAATTATTTCACTCATAAAGAGTGAAGGGTTAAATAATTACAATAAAATGTAAGGAGGCAAGTCTGTTTCACCATAGCCCGGTTCTTTGTGGCCCTATTTTTAACCTTCATACCCATCTCCACTGGGAATTCATTTCCTCCCCCCCCCCCCCTCCCCCAACAATCAAGTCATGACTCCATAAGCAGCCAAAAGCTGTAATGGGCAGCTAGTTCATTAACAGCTAGGGCTATCAGGAATTCAAAGTCACTGAAGTTCTTTTGGTTTTTATGATACTATCAAACTATCAGTCTATCACTGAGTATCTGCATGCTTTAAAAGTTAGTATTTACTCCTGATTTCCTTTAATTAAAGCTTTTGTGTCTATTTTCTGCTAACAATTTATTTACAGTTTATAACTAATAAAGCAGCAAATATACCTTACCCCATGTTGCAGATTCTCTTCATCCAAGTAATTGATGTACATTGTACTTATTATATAATAATCTCTTCATCTGTTCATCTGGATCCTTTCACTGCATTCAGACAGTACCAGTAACTGTTATATATGGATATATTTCCTTGTCAAAGCTGTCACTTTTTAGGCACAATTGCTAAGTTTGCATCTTTATCAGCATTATTTATTAATGAAATGACAAATTCCATCAGACACACCTGCAAAAATGAAAACAAAATCTATTAATTTACATATATCATGTTCATATTCTCTTGACTTCATTATTATATAATTGAACTGTTTTATACTGCACTGCAAATATAAAGGGCTGGGATAATACATTTTTGTCTACTATTCTATATCTAAATAAATATACTATATTAGGTATCACAATGTTTATGCTACAATACAGATCACAATATTTTTAATCGGTTATAATTTTTTCATTTTATATAAAATTGAGACAAAGTTTGACACCATGCATATCCAAAGTCTCTAAAAATTTACAATTTTAGTCATGTATATGTGTTATGCAAGGGTGTATCTGTCAGTATTTCCAAAATTTATCAAGCATGGCATTTAAATTGATACAAATATTTTGATTTCAGCTTTTCTTTTTCATGAAGTTCGACTTAAATATTCTTTGATAATTTTTAAATCAAAATAAAATCAAAAACTTTTAATTTCTTCATTTTATTTGCTTGGAAAATAATTATTTTTTTTCTTTTGTATTTGTACGAGTATTTAGTTTCAAACTAGTTCTACATGTATATTAGCTAATCAGTGAAAATCTATATGTTTGATTTACTTCAGTTTACATGCCTGTGTGTGCATTATATTACAAATCATAGGATCTGTGCTTGTAGGTGCACTCAATGTTTTAAAGTTATTCATAATTTGAGAATTATTGTCTCTTTTTTTTATTGTCAGTATATTTAAACCAATATTTTTTGGTTTTACAAAATAATATGAATTTTCTTTTTTTTAAAAGAGATGATGCGAATTATAATTTCAATTTTAATTTTGTTTATATATTGTTGCTGTGATCTCAATAACCTTTATAGAACGTTCTAATCATTAAAATGATATTGTCCTACGGACCTGGTTTAACGATAGAATTCGTTCCGTGTATTGGCAATGTAGCAAAATAAGCAAATTCGATAACTCGAATTGACTGCATTTTCTATGAACAATCCAGAGAGTTCCAAATTCAACATGGCGTGTAAATCTGAAGTGAGGAAAAAGGTTGAGAAAATGAGTTGAATTTTCTTATTTATATGGATTATTTTTTAGGTTAAAAGGCATATAAAATCTCAAAAAGGTTTGTTTTGATTAATTTGATAGTTATTTTCAGTGCAATTTTTTTGTATTCTTCAAATTCATTTCTGAGCGGATCCTTTCCAATATGCTACATTGTTAGTATATGGGACATATAAACTGTGGTGATCGAGGGATTGTTCCGAGACACAGTTAGATTGTTCTAACTAGCAATAACCCAACACATGTATCTTGTAAGTCGAAAACATGTATTTCACAAATTCAGTAAATAATTCTAAAAAAAGAAGAAATCTTGTAAAAAGGTATTCCATAGAGAAAATTACCCAGAATACGTTGTAGCATAACAAACACTGACATATACTCGAACAAAACTTAAGTATGAAAAATAATCAGATAATGGATCAAAATCACACCAGTGACCACCTACCCTAATCAACTGTTATCCACAAAAAAAAAATTATATACTTATATGTCAATCTACTTCCAAAATTACATGTTTTCCAAGATCTTACAAAATTATTTTTACAGTATGTCTCTTCAAATATTTGTTTTCCTGCTTAATAGTACTGATCATGCTGATCAGACGATAATGGGTGGGTGATATTAAGATAGTATGCCCTCAAAAACTTTTAATCCCAGACCTATGAACCAGTGATTAATTTTGAAAATGGTTATCATGGGTCCAAAGGACCCCCCTTAATGACAACAATGAGTCCCATGACAAAATCAGTGCATCCAAATCCAAGGGTCATATATTCGATGACAGATAAGACGGACCATAACAATGTCGGACTATAACATACATTAGATATTACAGAGGAAATTCTGGTGAAATATAAAAAGTTATTGCATGAAAGAACAAATGCTTTATTGTTGCTGTGAGTAGTTTTATAATTTTACTATCAATTGTCCAAGTAAGACTACATGATTTTGTGTCATAAATATAATATATTGTCAACTGTGCACTTTGGTTCTATTTTTAGATCGTACATACGATCTCACACATTGTAATGTATCAGTCATAAAATGCACAGAAGCAGAATGAAGCAAAGAAATTTTAAGAAGAAATGAAAAAACAGTCAGAAATAAAAATGATTAAATTTTAAACTTCTTAGCTTGTAAGGAAAAAAAAATGATACAGGTTACATATATAGCTTTTACATAGGTATAGTATTCGCTTCAGAAATGTTCCACAGTATAGACATAATCAGTGATAATCGAACTATGCTATCTAACTTTCAAATATTTTCTGATAATTGCTGGTTAATTGGCTGCAATTGTGAAATCTGACCTGTTGTTGGCAACCTTATATATACCTGTTAAAATTGTTCATGCATATCGCTTTGCACATGGATATGATGCAATCAGTCAAGTTTAGAATCGGATTATACCAAATAATACACGTTCTTCTATAAATTTATTGCGTCCATTGGGATGCACATTTATTAAAATAATGCGTCCTGAGCAAAATTTGCACACAATTTACGCAGGACGCACACCAAAATGAATCATTGATGAACACCATATTTTTTAGCGCAACATACAAAGAACTATGTAGCAACCTATGATCTACAGCACATGTAATTTTCATAATGCTAGCTCACATCATAAGGAATACATATATGACTAGCAGTGGTTTAAGTGTTTGCTTTAGAGTCACAGATAAAGGAGTTGATCCTAACATCACGGGTTCGAATCCCACTGCAGGATGTGGAGACCGATGTTCAAATGAAACTGAGGTCCCATGTTGTAGTAGGTGCTGGCATGAACAAAATTACTCACTGTTCAAGGGTCCTGAGTACAGAGTATTGGTTCTCAAGTGCTGGCTTTTCAATATGAGTGAAAAGTTATCGAAAGAAACGTCATAGAAACAAAAAAATATGACTATAAATAATTCTCTTTTCTTACCATTATGGATGTTGTACATGTCCCTTTCGATAATGAAAAACATCTTTTTCTGTCAACTTCTCATTTTCTCACCCGCCTTTTTCTTGCTAATCTTCTCTCCAACATACTGGAGAAGGTATTCTCGCATGTTATGTGGTACCGAACACACTATAATAAAAATAAATGCATAAATGCAAACAAGTCAACAAAATCAAATTTATTCAGAGACTTGGTTTTATATGTCTCAGACTGTCATAAATCTCACCCTAGGCATCTTCACTAGCCAAGGGTTTCTGATACGCTACTCTCCTTATAAACTTATGAGGAGAGTAGCGTATCAGAAACCCTTGGCTAGCGAAGATGCACCCTAGGCAGTAGTCCGAAATGTCTGACGTTTTCCTGCCTTTTTCCTGGAAAGTTTAGAAATTGAAACTGTAAAAATATTATCATACCATCAAACCATGTCCATGCTGATCAAAAGACTCAACAATGTATTAACTAACCCGATCAAAATTAAACTGAACCCGACCAAAAGTTTCTAATCTACATATGTAGATATACAAGTAATACATGTAGACTCTGCATAACAATTTTATTAAAATAAAAAAAATATATTGCTTGTTATATCAGCTGGTAAGAAGCAATTTCAGTTTGGGGGAGGGGGGACAGCCATGCATTTTCTTTGGGGGGCACTAACAACCAAAAATTCCTTGACAAGCTTTAAAAAAAAAGAAAAAAAAAGGTCATCAGGCGTTTTTATTGAGGAGGCACAAGCATATAGTAGCTATGTTTTCTTTAGTATTCTATATTTCGGCAAAATTATTGGGGGCACCAACCCCCCCCCCCCCCGCCCCCGTTCCTACGGCCATGAAATAAAGTTTGTTAAGTAATAAAGGCAATGCAATAAACTCTGCAAAGTAATTCAAATAGTTGAGGTAATTTTTACTTATGTGTAGACTGATTTACTAGTACTTTCATAATTATAAATATATTCTCCCATAAAATTAGAATAAATTCATGATAAAGGAAATAATTTGCCTTGATCATGTTGAACATGCAATACATTTTTGAGTCATTTAAGTTGTTGAAGACAAAATTCTCATTTGCCCAATTAAATTTGAGATACATGTACATGTACTAATTAAGTGACCTGTAAAGGTACTTGTAGATCTCTAATAAAATCTGGGAAATTAAATCAGCAGTGCTGTAGATCGAAACTCTTTAACGGTGGTGATGTTAACTGAGTCTACTATTATAGAAAAAATATTGCAAGAATTATACAGTATATCTTTTGTTACTCAATCATGGAAAGTGTAATACATATAACTATTAACTGATATGCTCATCTCTGATATAACCTGTTAATTAATCCTCCATTCATGCCAAAAGGTACAGTGTAATAGATTGATTAGAATATCATTGGCGTATAATAATATTATTACTTTCTACTACATGTAATGTGTCGGCTAGTGTGATGTCACAGATTTAACTTGAGGCGCAAATAATGGGTAAGCAAGGAGGCTGATGCAGACCTCATATAACACTTGAATTTTGGCTTAATTTTTATTTCCAGTTATAGGATTACTTTTGTCATTAAACAGAAAGTTAGACTCTAAGTATGGGTACAAAAATGCGCATTGTCAAAAATGCTTCTTTTTTTTTTTTGTGGCATTTGCAACAAAATGAAATTAATAGATAACATTTATCATCAACCCCCCCCCCCCCCCCCCCCCTTTTCAACCAAATTTCTATCCTTAAAAAAAATTATGTGTAGCCTACAGCCTTTTTACATATATGGAATATACACCACAAAATATTTCCACACATCCTGCACCCAAACCCCACTTCTAACCCGATTAAAAATATTAATCTGGTCCCTTTGAATTTTTTAGCAGTTTGTAGCCCTTAATTCCTCTTTATTTTTAAAGATATTTCAAAATTGTTGCTATATTGGGCTTGTCCAAATCAACTTTATGTTTTATGTACAAGAAATCTAAGAGGGATGCTGTCAGATACATAAATTTGTACGTACATATATGCATGCATGTATCCGCTGCCATAAACATCAGAGATGTGGTATCGTGGTTGGAGGGGGTGGGGTGGGGGGCTCCTCCCCTCCCCCAATTAATCTTTTAAGTACTATTAAAATTGTTCAGGAAAGGCTGGTTGGATTAGGCTGTGAAAAAAGTTTGAACCTAGAAACACCTTTCTCCCATTTCCAACCCAACCTACCCCACGTATAATAGGAAATTAGAGTTAGTATTTCAGGTAAATTATCGAATATTTAATTTATCTCCGCAAGAACGATACCACCAGCCTAATATTAAGTATATATTTATGAATAAGCACAGATTACAATTATTTTGTTCAAGTAATCAATTGTTAGGAACCAGTAAGTTGTAAGAACTTGTTTCCGATCCATTTGCTTATGTCAATAAAATATGTTCAAAACAAACAAACGATCTGTTGAAACCACGCTGTTGGTAAACTGCATTTCGAATTTCCTCCATGCTAATACGTATACGCAAGTCTTTATCAATGAATAAATACCAGATGTTAACCGCAAGATATTGGGTGCATAATATATAGTCAATGTATCATGAATAAGTATTTTTAAAAAATCATAATTTGTTATTACTTACCAAAATTTTGTCTGACTCCTATTTCTCCGAAGGTCGTAAAGGATACCGAGGATTTCCGAAAATTTTCGGAAGGCATTGCGCACGAAAACCTTGAAGTTGATGAACACGAAACTCTAAAGCTCATTTTCTCGTAAAAAGTTTTATTCTATTTAGCAAATTGTACATACCCAAAATTAGTGGGAGAACAATATCTAGAACTAAATACTAGGAGAAATAAGACATATATAGCAGATCTTACTTAATTTTGCAAGTTTTAGCTGGTCTACATAATGACGATATATAATAATACCAATATATACGTTGCTTGAAATTTAAATTTAAAAATTTCTATAATCATAAATTTTTGGCATATTTTTGGTATTTAAGGGACAAAAATATACTAAACTAAAATTAACTATTGTCAATTTAATATTAAAAAGTCATTAATTTTCTGTTCAGAGAGGGTCAAAATGTTAAGACGACCGGTTTTGGTCTACTTATTCTACGAGGCTACTTAATGCCAATATATAAATATGAGCGGTCTCCTAAATGGCACAACCATATATATATATATATATATATATATATATATATATATATATATATAAAATCAAAGTACTTACAGTACTGAAAAGCGCTAAGCTAAGTTAGTTAATAGAACTCTGGTGAATAAGTATGCCCTTTTTCAAAAATTGTCACAGTTCTACTTACATACACATTTTCAGAATTTAATGTCGATCTTGTAAGTCTTAAAAGTTATTTTTTTTTTAACCTTTAACATGATATTTTAACTACTTAAGGAACACGTTCGACTGCTGAGTAATTATTTTCATGCCCAGACTTTGATCAGATTGATTACGATCCTTGGAGCATGAATATGCAAACAACTCAAGTAATTTGCTGCTATCGCGCTAAATCATATTTCTATCGATGTGGCCCATCATCGAATACGGTAAGTAAAAGTGATAACAAAAACAAATACTAATACAATAGTACATTCATACTGGCGTATAACTTTTGCTTTGTCATACCGGTTTATGTACACCCACTCATTTTTTTAATGTTAAACATTGTTAAAAGAAAAAGTGCAAGCAACTTTACTGGTCTTCACCGCTAGATCCATCATATATATATATATATATATATATATATATATATATATATATATATATATATATAAGCAATGAATCATTATATTTTTGAAAGATATTATACACCTATTTACTGGCTATGAGGACAATAGCAAGTTTATCGTTCCCCAAGACAGCAACTATTTCCCGAGGCGCAGCCGAGGGAAATAGTTGCTGTTGAGGGGGACGATAAACTTGCCATTGTCCGAATAGTCAGTAAATAGGTGTTTTATTATACCGAAGCAGTCTTTACTTGTGTTACGTCACAATCTGGATAAAACCAGAAGAGTTCCGAGATAAAAAGCGAGGGAAACAGAATGCTGCCGGTGAATAGTTTAATGACTATTTCACCATGGGCAAATAGCACAAAAACTATTCCACGGTAGGGGCTGTTTGGAGAAAATAGCATGTTTATTCGTCATATTTTTATATAGAAAAAATTCACAGAGGTATAATAAAGTCTCATAACTGCAACGGTGTGTACAAACAAATTGAGTAACGCGCGTTAGCACGTTATGAAAATTTGTTTGCACACACCGTTGCAGTTATGAGACTATATCTTTCAAAAATAATCATTCAATGCTTATCTTTACATTTTTAAACTCCTTGCATTGACTGCAAATGTGATTTATATTTAAAAATCCCTTTATTATCCTTCAAGTAATTAAGTTGATGGAAGAGCCAATTCAACAGCGTCTGTTCAATGTCAGCGTGATTTTTGATTTTCGCTTATGACGTTACACTTCCACGGCGTTCGACGTTTGTGACGTCAAAATAAAACGCATAATTTAATCCTTTGACCCCCTGTCCGTGTTATGGTGTTTTGAATGCCATAGATTTCCACACATTTTATATGCAAAATACGCTTGTATATATATGTATTATTATTATCTTAAATGTCATGTGCACAATGTCACTATAACATACAATTGCTTACTGTTTGAAAAAATACAAATTTACTAGAAATAGGATGCCAATAAACCTTATATCCAGTTTAATAAGAAAAATAGATAATACAATATTAATTTTAATCAAAATATGCCAGAAGAATATGTTTCTAGCAATTAAAGGGTTTTGAGCTACATTCTCATCTATAACTTTTAAATGTAAATTCAGGTTCATTTAAATAATACTAATATCTAACAGTAAATTCGAGAAATATTAGTAAATGTATGCTGAACGTTATTCAAAAATTAAATTTACAATTAACAATCAAAACATTTTTATGACAAAATATTTTAATTTATTTTACATCATTACAAATAAAATTGTTCGGCAATTTTCCTTGAATACAAAAATTAACAGGGATAGAATAAAAGAATTTTCATAAGTAGATATACTTACATTGCTTATGTCAACCTAAATGATGTCTTCCATTCGAATCTTAAGGAGGGATTCTTCTCTTATTCTACTCATATTTCTTGTATTTAAAAATTAATGAAATTTTCATAGCTTCAAGAAGACAATATCACTAAGTGATGGTATCAATTAGATTAAATTTGACCGTTTTATTTTAGAAACAAGGTCAGGTCAATGTCATTATCTTTTTCCTTGACATTTAGAGTAAAAAATTACTGTTGCTAATCATGTGATGCCTACTTCTATTTTAAAAGATAAATTTTTTTTCTTTTTGCACAAAAAGATGTTACCATATCGGGTCTATCAGATGATTCTACCAAATTAATTGACATTATTTAACTTAAATAGATATTGGCTAATCCGGATTT